GGGGGGGGGGGGGGCTCTAGCGGCCTAGAGTTTAAGGTGTTCGCTTCTCATTCAAAGGTACCGGGTTCGAATCCGGGTAGCGACCGAAACATTTGCTTCTTTAAAATTGTCTCCTTTCGCCTTCTTTCCTGCACTCTTGCAATGTTCTGTCGTCTGCTTTCGTCTCCACTTTCTGCCTCCACCCCCTCACATCCTTTGCCCCTCCTATGGGCTCATGACTCTTTCTGCAACATTTCTACTGCTTCTCCTTGGATTCTTCTTACTGCAGTCTTTCAGCCACACCCCTGATCTTCTGGTAGAAAAGATCTACACCTAGCCTTCTCGGACAAGGGTGAAAAATCTTGAAGAGCCTGAGTGCAAGTTTAAAGATCCCTTGGTGGTCTAAAATCGATAAGAGTAGGCTTCGGCCGCCACCCGGGCAACATTCACAATTTCCTACCCACTGATAAAGTTTAATGTGTCCTGTGCGCTCATCTGACTTTATCCAGTTGCGAGCGCCGTAAAACACTTACCAAAAAAAAGGACGCACCACAAGAAGTTTCGAGGTCTAAACTGTTCCTCAGTTGTTGAACATTTGTTTGTTGCAAGTGCCGTAAAACTCTTACTAAAACTTAACCCACGCCATACGATTATGTTCCTCAGAAATCTGATGTGGCGGCAGGCGTACCACAAAAAGTTTCAAGGTGTAAACTGTTCCTCAATGTGTGTTGCAAGAACCGTAAAACTCTTATTCAAACCAAATTCACACCACACGATCATGCTCCTCAGCGGGTGGTTGAATGGCGCTGGGTCCTACTCCTTTACTTTCCCTCTGTTATTTCGGTCTGTCTGTCTTACTTTTTATCCGTGGGTGGTTGATGGGTGCTCTTGCGTGATTTGCTCCTTCTTTCCTGTCAAACATTTATCGTCCTGATCTCTCCTCCTTCCGTTTTGTGTTTGTTACTCTCTTGTTACACCTCTAATCTTCGGCACTTTAATATATGACCTTATTGTGTTGCAAGTGCTGTAAAGCTCTTACTAAAACTTACTATTTATCCAGCACCAAATGACAATTATTGTGTCAATGTGCTTCTCTTTACTCAAACAAACATATAAATCATGTTCTCCCCCCCCCCCTTGCAGTGCTGCTGACTGAAGTGTCTTTAATGCATTCCCAAAGGGGGGATATTAACGTGTTGTTATGCACAGTCGAATTAAGTAAATAAGCTGATTTACCAATGTCATGCTTATACTGTGCCGGAACAACATGACACTATCGTCATTTTTTTCTCAACTTCTTTTGTGTGTTTGTCACTCTCTTGTGAGCTGTAATTTCCAGGGCGCCTTATTAGTCGAAGCAGACTTTGTGCAGTTGAGGCTCGAGAGGTGAGCAGAGAAAGCCTAATTCCCAGTTTGGACTTCTCTGTTGCCATCCACCCCTTGACGCTCATAATATGACCTTACGCAATTGCGAACGCAGTAAAAACCTTACTAAAACTAAACTTTTTCAAACAAGCAAATGTGGGTGGTTGGTTGGTGCTTTGGTGTGGTTTGCTTCTTCTTTCCTATAATATCACACACATATCGTCCTTATCTCTCCTCCTTCTTTTTTGTGTTTGTTACTCTCTTGTAACACCTCTATTCTTCGGCGCTTGTATGCCCCTATTGTGCTGTAAGTGCCGTAGAACACTTACTAAAACTAAACTTAAAAAAAGAGAAAGCCTCATTCCCCGTTTGGACTTCTCTGTTGCCATCCACCCCTTGGCGCTCATATGACCTCACGCAGTTGCGAGCACCGTAAAAACCTCACTAAAACTAAACTTACTCAAACAAACAACCAACCCATATTCCTCAGATGTGGTGGAGGGCGCACAGCGGTGTACACAGCCGTGGACTTCTGCCTCCATCAGCTGCAGGCCGAGGACCGGGTGGACGTGTACAGCACAGTGCTGCACCTGCGCCGGTTCCGCAAGAACATGGTGCGCACTCTGGTGAGTTGGGCTGATCACATGGGGGCTATTGTAAGTTCTAAGGACCTTGGCTGATTTTACTGTTACCGTTTGTGAGTTTTTATTGCATTCTATATTTTTAGCGAAAGCATTGCCAGACTCACTGCATTACTATTTTTCGCATAAAAATGTTTATACATAAGATACATATTATATTCGCATAATACAATGTGTTACGTACACACATGTCCATTACTTTTTAATGTGTGATACTTTTATTAATGTTAAGCGCATTGAGCATATTTTAGAATGTGGAAATGAGCAGCATAAATGCTATTAACTATTATTATTATTATTATTATTATTATTATTATTATTATTA